TATTGTTATTGTCATTGTTGTTTTGCTGTTAGTTGTGTAGTGTCTCGAAACGTGTTTGCCAACGCGTCAGCGATACCTTTAACTATGTATTTTGTACTTGCCAGTTCCACCGGCTCCTTAACCACTGGTTGGCTGGTGGGTTACTGAGCTGAGTTGAGTTTAGTCGAGCTGAGGTGTGCAGTGCTGGTAATGTTTGGGCAGCGACTGTAAGATTGTTTAGCAAAAGCAGAGTAAATATGCAATGCAGCCATTGAGCGCTGAGCTCTTAGTTCGAATACCAACATACAAACATATATATATGTATATATATATATACATACATACATATGTGCTCATGTACCTTTTGCTTTGGTTTTGGCCTTTTGTTTGCTACTGTATGTATATGCTGTTGTTATTGTTGGTATTTTTATTATATTGTAGTTGCTGCTGTATGTTGTTACATCTGTATGGTTTTGGTTTTTACCATTTACAGCTGTCGTTCAAACAACAACAAAAAAGTAATGCAGGTGTGTTTGTGTATGCTTTAGTGTTACATTTATAGTTGCTGTAGTAGTTGTTGTTGCCGCTGTAATGGCAAAGTGGAATTCCAAAGAACTATTCAACTGCACAAATTATTATGATGTGACTTCAAGAAAATGAGTAAATTTGAGAATTACGAAAGATTTTATTGTTGGTAGAAAACAAATCCAATGGATTATATGAAAGTCTATAGGTTCCGGTAGTCGTTGAGAGCGTATCGCGGAGCTCTCCGCTGAAGGGCAGTAGCTTAGATTAAATCCGTGCATCCGGAACCTTAAACTCCGAAATAATAATTTATTTTAAATTTTTTATTATCTTTTTTATTAAATTTTGTTATATTATTTTTTTGAATTCTATTATTATTTTCAATAATTTTTTATTCTAAATTTTTTTTAAACATTTTTATTCTATTTTTTTTTTTTTAATTTTTTGTTTCTCCTATTAATTTTAGTTATTTATATATATATTTTATAAATTTTAATATTTTTTTAAGGTTTTAGTTTTTTTTCATTCTCCCATAATAAATTTTTTTTGTAAATTTTTGCATTACTTTTTATTTTTTTTAAACTGTCTTAGAAAAAAACATTTTATTATATCTTAATAATAATAAAGAAAAAAATTAAACAGATATTTAAAAAAATCAGAACTGAAAACAAATGCAAGGAAATTTATTCAAAGTTTTCGAAAATTAAGAAAACACAAATATTCAAAAAAAAAAATTAATATTGTTAAATAATTTCTTGGAAAATAAACAATATAAAATATAAAGCATTAGTATTATTGAGAAGTAGATTTAATAAAAGAAAAGTACTAAAAAACTAAATCTAAAAAATTTTAAGCAAATTTCTTCTTAATTGGCGTACACACGCGATTATAACCGAAATAAATAAATACAACTAAAAAAATTATTACGAGCATACATTTTTCTAATGTTTAGACGAAAAAAAATAATTAAAAATAAAATATTAATAATATTAAAAATTTAAAGATATACAAAAAATTTAGAAATGCAAAATAATTAATAAATAAGAATAATAATATTCAAAAGAAGTTCTAAAATAAGTAAAAAAAAATTCAAAATGTTCTTAAAAAATAACTTTAAATATTTAAGATTAAATATTGAAAATATTTTTCCACTTTTTTAATTAATCTATACATTAAATAATATTCAGTATTTAAATCTATTTTCCAATGCATATGCTCGATTTCGCATTAGATTTTTGTTTCTCTTTCGAAAAAAACTAAGCAAAGGGAAGCAATGCAATTGATATTTGCTATGGTCTCTTAACACTTAAAGTAATTTTATTTATTTATTTATTTGAAAAGCTAATATTCCAATGAAAAATTATAATTTTAGAATAATTTTTTTTCATTATATTTCCTTATTTTTTATTTTTTTGAGAAATTTGGAAATTTTGTAACAATTTTTGTATCCCAGCAAGAAAAATCATTGTTTTTTACCTAAACTCAGTGCTATTCTGTTAGGGTGAACAGGACGAACTTTTTATTTTAAGAAAGTATAAAGCAACAAAATGTATCGATTAATCTATAGAGCAGTAAAATAATAAAAAAATATTTGCTTTCTAAAGCAAATTACTTATTTCTAAAATTGCAGATCTATTTGTGGCACCTATCCAAACAGATTTCCAGCTTTACATAATATATTATATATGGTTATATGTATATGTACATATGTATATGTGCATCCATGAAATATAACTATTTATATTTAACCTCCAGAAATTATCCCTTTCTTTTTTTTCTTTTTGTTGAACTTAATTTAGATGGAATTTAAGCACATTAAAATTCTTCACAAAAAATTGGAATTAAATAAAACCTAAATATTATACTCACATGCTCGCCTTTTGTTTAATAAGAAACATAAACAAAACTGCAGCTTCGAGGCAAAAAAGAAGAAGAAAAAATTGATTTTGACGTCAGCAAAAAATGATAATTGGAAAAAAGTATTAAGTTATAGCCAAATAATTGATTAAAAAAATGTGAAAATCCAATAGTGGCATAAAAATCGATTCAAACAAGGATTTATAGAATAAAGTTCAATATAAAAAGTGAATTGCAGAAGTAAAAAAGAAACATAAAAAATGTAATAATGTAAATGTGTGAAAAGAGCATCTGCATAAAAAATGTGCCAAAAAAAATCCCACTAAATGCGAACCCAATAGTTGTGTGCATGGCTAAGATATATGTACGTATATACAATCTAATAAAAGTAAAATAAGTAATGGAGAAAAAGTGTCAATTGTTTGGAGCAAATTTCGTGAAAAGGCGCCAGGCACAACAAATCACCACACCAGTGAACTTTTGTCCTCAATTTCCTGCAAAATAGGCAGTGTTGAGCGCTCAACCAGAGCTTTCTGCATTGTTACCCAAGCAATTTAGCGGGTTTAACTTGGCAAGTAGTGTGGTCTCATTATTTAAGCTTGCTAAAGAAATTGAGGAATAAATGTAGATAGAAATGTATGTCGATTGTGAATGAAAAATGTAAAAGGATTATTCGCATATAGAATATGATCGAAATTCAAAGGGAATGACAAACGATCAATTTTTTATTATTTTTGAAATAATCTCCGCTAGAGCAGTTTTAGTGGCCGAATGTCGAACAGGTACCAATGCACGGGCAGAACTTTGAAGCGCGTTTTCTCGAGCTTTAATCTTTACAAGTCTGAGAAAACGGTGCCGGTGATAGCAAAGAGAATACACAGTGAAATTTTCGATAAGCGGGCAGCAACGGGACCAGATTTTTTGCCCGATGCAAAAAAAAATAGAATGATCTAGCTTCAGTATTTAATTATTTTCTATTTGAACTAAAGAAGCTGGACCAAAGCATTACTGAAACTTTTTTTTTTAAACTACATGCTTTTTTTTCAAAAGAGGTATTTTTTTTCGAGTTTCGAAAAAATTTTTAATTTTCCAACTTCTTCCCTATTTTTTTAGTTCATATAGAATAGACACTCATAAAAACTAAGAAAAAATTGGTTTGACTGTTTCAGGTGCATCACACGACCTCCATTATGGGCACTATTTCACGAGCTCAGATTACACCAGCTTCAGAAAACTCATCACAACATTGGAAAATACCAATATTTTTTTATAATAAAAATTGTTTTTGAAGCTTTCTTTGATTATTGTACCAAAATTTCTTCTACTGCAAAAAAGTCCTTCCCTTAAGAAAAACACATTTTTTCGAGAATTAAAGGTGGCTAATGTCTTAAAGATTGTAGATTTTTGAAAAATAAACGCAAAATTGAAAAAAAAAACATATATATTTTGCAGAAAATGTTGGAAAATTCATTAAAACATCACTGCTACAAGACTTCATAGGATTCATTACCATCATTAGAAATGAAATTGAAAAATATGATGAATAATTTGCTTTACTCAGAATAGAGAATTAATTTTGAGTGATATTTTGTAAACAAAATTTAATTTCCCCACATAATTTTCATTTTTTATTACTTCTTATTATGCTGTTTCTATTTTTCTTTTTTCCAATTTACCCTTATTCAATTTAAATTATAGAAATTTTCTGCACACTTAATATACCAATTTTCCTGAAATTTTCATAATTTACTTGGAAAAAAAAGTATGAATGATTGTTGCGCTGCCGATTAGAATTTGCGGGTGGTTAATTTGTTCATTTATGTTCATGAAATAATAAAGATTTTCTGCTCTTTTGAAGTACACACGTTCTTCACCGTTGGCTAACCACCTACTGTGGCATTCAACTACGGTAAATTCCAACGAGTTTAGGGATACAAATGACTTGTAAATCTGTGGCCTTCTGAAATTCTACGAATTTAATTGTCAATATTTTGTCACACTGAAAAATGTGTTGTAAAAGCATGTCTTCTGGATTAGCTACAAATGAGAAATGCTAGTAGCAATGGGAATTTTTGTACATATAGCCGTGGGAAAGAGAATTTAGAATGATTTGAAAGATCTCGATGAAACCTAGATGGGCCACATGCTGCTGGGAAATTTCCGATGTTTTGAAGTCATTTAGGAGCATGGAAAAATAAAGTTAAATTTTTATTGAAATACTTTGAAAAAAGTATATAAATATATTTACTTTCAGATTTTATGAGCTAGTTTTTGAAAGTACATATAACTTTGACATTTTTTCCAATCTTTTTTTCTCGGTTTTGACCAATTATATGTCTGTTTCTTACTTTTAGGTACACAAAAATGAGTTTTTCGTGTTTTAGTTTAGTATGTTTTTTTTCCATATTTCTTTTTTAATAAAACGAATATTTTTAGAAAATTATTTTTTCATTAAAATACTTTTTCACACTGAAAGAAAAATTTAAAAATGTGTAAGTATTGGCAAACGATTTTATCTCAATTTATTTACATTTATACACATTAACTATTTTTATTAGCTTCCTGCTGTTGGTATCTACTTAATATATTTTCCTTAATCTTTGAAAATTCACTTAATATGGCAAATGAAAACAACTTACCTTTACGGCTTTCTGGCATTTTATGTGAATAATCCAAAAAAAAATGCAGCTTCACCACAAAAGTTCACTTGTTTTTCCTAGATTTTTCTCCTATGTTTATTGAAGTTGTCACTAAATGCACTTTAAATCGCTGTCAGGTAAATATTGTTAATATAAAATCCAATTAGGCCACCAGCAACAACGAATGCTGAGAAATAATCCTTTTCAACACCTGACCGGTTCACTTGACCTAACTGCTTGACACTATGCACTGGAACTGCACGAGCAATGCTCAACAAAAACTCTGTGACCGCAGGATTGTGGCAATGCGTCAAATCGGCAAATGTCAAATTCGCGACGAAATGTTTGCGTTAGGCAATGAAATAGCACAAGCACGCTACACGACGACGAATAATAAAAACAATTTTGCGGAAAGGGTTTTTTATTTAACGTAAAACATACGAATGCAAAAGTCGGAAGAAAATTGCACAGCTATTGCTGACTTGCCGGCGATTTTGTTGGCAATACTTTACGAAGGCTGTTAGACCTGGTGCTAGTATATATGGTCTCTCGTTTCGTCGAATAGAAACTTATTTGTTCGTTAGCGTTTGACGGCGCAATTGCCAAAACATGCCAATAACACTTTCCACTTGAATCAGCGAAAATCTGCTTTGGAAAATCTGTTTAAATTATAGCCACAATAACAACGAAATCGGCAAAACACCCGCAGCGACGACGACAATCACAACCACGATGGAGACGACGACGACGATGACGACCACGGCAACGATGGATAAAACACTACGAACACCACGATTCAGATGAGCGAATGTGAATGCGATTATAAAGAGTTCACGTTTGCCTTTGCTTATTTTGTTTTTCTTTTTTGTCTTTTTTTTTTGGATCTTTTGAGATTTGTGTTTCTTTTTTTTTTACGAATTTTCAGCGAATGTGTGTATTTTAATTGTTGCTGCCGTTGGCACTGTTACTTTTGTTATTGTTGCAATCGTTTGACGGATGCGATGAGGTGATTTTTTTTTCTGCGCTCACTACTTTTCTTTTCTTCACTGATTTGCACCAAAAATTTGTTATATACACAAATGAGAACGAAAAATTGTCGGGATTTTCATTTCAGATTTTTGGAAAAATCGACAATAAATTCTTTATAACTTTGTATGTTTTATTGGCGTTAAGTTGTGTTCTTCTTATTCACTTCCATTTACTTGTTTCCTTGCAATTATTGGCAGTTTTTACTACTCTTTATGCACTCCGAGTCCGGTATGCACTAATGTTTGTATGTATGTACGTATGTATTTTTGTATGAATGATTTCAAATAGTATGTAGGTGTATTCGAAGATACCGAGTGCGGTCAATGCTTCGGCGCCACACTACTGCACTATACTTTTACATATAAATACATATGTAGACACAGAAACCGCACGAAGTTTTAACAGTGGAAGTAAGAAGCCAAGAAGCAGGCAATAATCAACAATAGCAAAAACCAGTAACACATACGCACACACACTATGCTGGTTACAATCGGAAAGATGGCCAAAAGCAATAGCAATACACTACTTGTCTTAAAGCGATTTCAACTTTTTTCGTAATGTTTGCTGTCTCGGTTGCTCCAGTGCCGCTAGCTGTTTGTGTACTATTGGTGGTGGTTATGCGTTTACTTGCTGCTGCTGCTGCGCCCATTAAAGAAAAACAATACAAAGCATAGCCAAGAGAATTTCTTTCTGTTTCTGTTTTTCTTTTATACCAATTTTTTAATCTTTTATTCTTCACTTAATACTGCTTGTATTTTTCTGACTTTTCTTTCATTTTTTTTACCAAATTCTCTGCTGCCTGCATAAATGAATGAACGTCACATGAAAGAGACGCACACAAAATCGTTCACGGTAACCAAGACAGCGAAGGCAGCGTCTGCAACCGCTTCGACAAATTGTAGAAATATGAAACAATTATGCATGAAATTCCAAAAAATGAAGATTTGTTCCAAAAGTTACTCCACGAATATGTTTAGAAAAGAGAACATGGAAAGTAATTAAGTTAGGCTTAAAAGTATATCCAACCAAAATTGTTTTGTTTTTTATATATTTCGTCAATTCGTCAATAGACAACCACTGTAGCACTCACTGTTTCATTAGGATTTATTTATATTTGCTATTTCCGATTGGTGTTTCAATTAGCACCCAACTTGTATGTTATAATTACTTTCGTACCTTCATTATTAATTTGCACCATTTACCTCTTTTCAATATGTTTTTTGTTTCTTTTTTCTGCTCACTTACACCAGAAACGATCCATTATACGTCGGTTGCGCACACACAAATAAAAGGCACTTTTTCAACAATTCCATATAATTTTTACTGCTGCGAGGATATTTAGCGATTACTATTCACTTTTCCACTTAATTTTATATTAATCCAATTCGTTTACATGTGATATTTATTATTGTAAATATACGAAATTGGTAGTATTAGATTTTTGTACAGCTAGAAAGCGTCAAAGAGCAATGGATTAAGCGCTTTAACGAAAATATGTGCACACTTTTCTATATTCTAAAACACACTGCGAGCACTGCGAGGAAAGATGAAAATGGGAAACATCCACCGTGCACTTGCACATCAAACAACTTCATATGGTCTTCTTCTTCACGAATGTCGTTTTCAGTAGCACTGGGGCATGCCAGTTGGAACATTTTCAAAATGAAGATTTTCTGCGCATCGGAAAGGCATATGTCAGAAAGTTTTTTCCAAAAATTTTTACCTGCTGATTGGTTTATATTCCTGTCCTGAAATTCGATTTTGTTTAGAATCAAAATCAGAGTTTTATAATAATGTTCTAAAATTCCATCATATTTTATTTATCGTATTTGAAGTCTTATTCCCCTCATTCATTGTGTGTTCTGTATATCCATTTATCGGAAAAATTCAATCGAGTTTTCTAAAAACCTTAGAAATGTAGGTAAATTACCTGTTTTAAAGATTTTTCTTAAACGAAATATTATTATTGAGCGTAGACATCTAAAAATCTTACATCTGTGTGGTAAATCCCAGAAACTTTGTAAGTGATATATGGGAAAATATTAAATCAATGTTGCATTGCAGCAGGTATTACAAGGGATTTCTTTCTGTTCATTTTTATTCAACAAATACTAAAAATGTTAATTCAAAATTTACATCTCATAACAGCCTACAATAATAACCAAATATTCTTGTGAAAATTATGTCATGCAACGAAGGATCAAAGGAGAAATCTGATTACCCTAATATTTTCGTTGGAGTAGTTTTTCCTTGATTGTTTTTACCTAGTGGCATTCCCTCCCGCAAATTTCTTTTGAGCGATTTCAATAAACAAACTGATTATACCGTGAATGACACCAATTAGTTGAAAACACATGGCCGCCGCCGGAGTAATCAAAACAAATCGCATATCTACAAAGAAGGTGAAATAAATACACCTGTATTAAAATCTATTTACTAAAAATTGCAATGGGTGTGCGTGGTCTCACAAGTTATATCGCACGTCATGCAGAACAATATTTGTTACCTTACGAGTTGCATGACTGTAATTTGGTCATCGATGGCGATAGTTTGTCCTGCAATTTGTTCAGAGACGTTTCCGGCAATTGTTCAGCCTTTGGTGGAGACTATGATGATTTCTATCGTGCTGTTGTGGAGTTCTTTCAAGTGCTTGCTGAATGTAATATTGAGCCTTATGTGTTAATGGACGGTGGATATGAGCATAGAAAATTACGTACAGTTGGCAAGCGTTTGAGAGGCAAAATAGCTGTTATCAAACGTATTAATCCTTGTGGTTCAAACACCATCTTTCCTTTGTTAATGAAGGAAGTGTTCGTAGATGCAGCTCGTGATTGTGGTGTTTCTGTAATGCGTTGCGTTTTTGAGGCTGATGATGAATTAGCGACACTAAGTCGGAAGTTGGGTTGTCCAGTTCTCACTTACGATTCTGATTTTTATATATACAATGTGCATTATATACCACTGGTCACTTTAACTGTTAAAGCACACACCAAACGGGTTGGCGAGGACGTCGAATCAAAAGAAGATGAATTACCAAAACGACGATTGCGCAAAAATGAGGCTAAACGTGTAGAGAAATTGACAAAAGCAAATCGCATAATGGGCAACATACAGGTGAACAACGTAGAGAAACGCGCACCCAAAAAGGGTAAAACCTACAAGTTTCTGGATTGTTGCATTTACCGCATTGAGCACCTGATAGCGCGTCGATCGATTTGCAAGGAGAAGTTACCATTATTTGCAGCGCTACTAGGCAATGATTACATTGCGCGTTCGAGTTTTAAAAATTTCTTTGCTGCTGGTATGGGAAAAATTGGACGAAGTCGAAAAGTACAAAGCCAACAAAAACGAATACAAGTCATTTTGCAGTGGTTAAAAGATGAAACCGTGGAGTCTGCTCTCACAAAGATACTTAGCCGCCTGCGCAAGGTGATTAAAAAAATTTTTTTTCTCGAAATTTGTTTAATTAAAACTCACTATTAACAGGTACAAAGAGAATCGCTGCTGGAGCAGGTGGATGCGGCTATAAGTGGTTACTCCAACGAGAAATGCCATTCTTATGACTTTTTTACAACTTATTATGAAAGTGCATTTCATAGATATCCACCAAAACAGCTGGAAGCAGCGGAGAATGGTTTTGAAATAGAAGAAAATTACTATGAATCTGAAGAAGACGAGGATAATAGCGAGGAAGATAAAGACAATATTGTAGAAAATGACGAGGACAAAAGTGGTGGAGAGGAAGACATTATTGTAGAAAATGACGAGGTATGCAAAAAGGAAGATAGTGGTGAAGTTACCGATAGTGAAGAGGAGTCAGAATTTGAAGAAGGCGAGACGCAAGAAGTTGGTAAAGAGATGAAAAATAAAAATGCAAGTGAAACAGAAAACGAGGATGCTGAAAGTGATGAGGTTGAGTGTAGAGATAAGACTTCAAATTTTCCCACTTGGTTTATAGACAAGTTATATCCTGCTCATTTACCACGTTACTTTGTGGATCTCGTACATTTGCGTAAATATATAAATAGCCCACAAATTGAACATTTTCCCTACAGTGATTGTAATGAAATTGCACTGCCAATACTGACATATATTTTTACATTACTGAATAGCGCTAAAGGCGAAGAAACGAGACCACAGCTAGATGAGAATGGTGAACCATTGCCCATCACATTTACTTACATGGCACGTAGACCGAGGGTAACAAACATACATTATACACGTTATGAAATGGAGACTGAAAACAAATACGAATTCATACCTACAAAGCCCGATCCACTACTTTTCCGAAATGTTTTTACGAATAAGATGCCTCACTTAGATAGTGAAAGACTATTTCAAAAAGTGGTTGAACTACCAAAAGATTTACAAATGTACTTCCTCGCCATTGTTTATTGGCTGCATAAGTGCCAAAATTGTAATCTAATTCATCTACATGCACTAATTATATGTGCAGTTGTCTTACGCACAATAGATTCAAAAATACCTGTCGAACGAGATTTACGTGATTTTCAAAAACGTTTTGGTAAAATTATCAAGAAGGAAAGAGTGGTTCGTGACACAGAAGCTCAAAAAGGCAACCCTCGCACAATTAAGGAGGAGCTACTGTTGTTACCCGTACCGGATCGTATGGAACGTATACCGAAATCCGATTGCTATCTTGTAATGGATAGCCTGCTTAAACATTTTCACATGCAGGAACTTTTTAAAAAGAAATACGATGACTATTCCACAGTTGTCTTACATGCTTTTGCAGAATTTCAATCGGTTGTTTTTCAATTGTATGGTCTCAACGGCTTGCTCGACATGCCATATGAGCAAGTGAAAATGGGTCAACTATTTTGTGGTGTCTTCATATACAATTTATATGATTTACTAAAATCACGTGCCGATGTTACATATCATGTACGAAACTTTATATTCCGTGATTCGCAAATGATGTTTGATTTCTATGAATACTTGTGGCAATGGTGCGATGAATTTGTGCCTACATGGAAACGCCCTGCCTTAGAAAAAGTAACACAGGTAGCTAATAAAAAAGCTTTGAAGAAGAAACGACAAGCTGCACGTAAACTGGCAGCTGCTCAGGAGAATGCCGACCCTAATGCTGATATGGTTGATCGCAGCGACAGTGAAAAAGATGCCACTTTAGGAGAAGAGGCTATATTCGAGGATTTGAATAACAAATTTACTACATTTCTTACAGTGAGATAACGACCATGGTAGATTTGGAATGAAGAACAAGTGTAGGACAAAAAATTAAAAAATTATGCATTGAATACTGTATCGATAAAGATTCAGAATATTTATAGAACGATATATCAGTGCTGCAGTTGATATTTTAAACAATATATATTATAATTCTGATTTAGGTTTAAAATAAAGAAGATTTCAAACAAATTCCAATGCAATATTGACTCTTTGTTCACAATTGAATAACAAATATTACAAGAAATCTAGATCTAAGGCTGGCATAAAAATATTTAGTTTATAAATTAAATTTTTGTTTAGAAATAGAATTTTTGTTAAGAAATTTAATTTCTGTACAGAAATTGTATTTTTGTTGAGAAATTTAATTTTGTATAGAAATTGTATTTATTTTATAGAATCTGTATTTTTGTATAGAAATTGTATTTTTTGTTTATAGCGCGGTTTTTCTATTCTTTAAGTAAAAAACGGCATTTTGACCCACTGTGCTGAACGAGTTAATAATTGCCACCATCCATCATTGTGAATGGCATTTTGTGCTTCTGTCATAAGAGGAAACAAATTGTCTTTGTTTTGAAGTTTTTATTTTTATCGCGTAATGAGCACATAAAACTGAGGAAAAGGATAAAAACTCAGGAAAAACACTGCCGATGTTTGAAGCATTTTGTGTGGGTGTCCAAAGCAAGGATTATTGGAGAAAACATTCGTAGATAGGATGCAAGCGTTGCTATAGCAAGTGAATATCTGTGCCAAATCATTATAGCGAGTTGTATGTAGCAACAAAAACTGGAAAAAATAAAAACAACTCAAGGGCATACATAGGAACGCGGAGTGGGTGACGCAAAGGTAAAACACTTTTATCAACAGTTTTGTCATTGTTTTTATTTTCGGTGTAGCTGTGATTATTTATTTGTCCAATGCAATGTTACAAAAACTCCAAATATTGGTATATATATAAATACAAATGTAACTTCGTTTATAGATTTTCAAAATTTTACGCTCATTCATTGAACTCAGCTGCTCCAGCAGCTGGTGGCCAACAATAATAACATTCACACTAATTGCCTGCGTCATCTTAAGTCTTATTGCGCTGGTGATTGAGTTTAGCTGGCTGCGTGTGCATCCCGACGAATTGTTTCGACAAAGTCAGAGTGCGTACTATTTGCGTTTGCAGTGCATCGCAAAAATTGATCGCTTAATTTCATTGTACGCACATGTAACACGAAAAATGGATAGTGTATTCGAAGCATACTTGGGCCCTGATGGAATGCTCGCTGGAGCTGTGGCTGGTGCAGTTGGGGAACCAGATGACATACCAAAAGTAAACACCGATGTTTGGGTGTTGGGCAAACGTTATAATGCCATACAAGGTGAGTGGTGCATCAACACAATTTGGCATTATATTAAATTTTAATTGATGTCAACAGAATTGGAATTAATACGCCGCGACATACAATCACGCCTCTGGTGCACTTATCGTCGCGGTTTCGTGCCCTTGGGGGCACCACAATTGACTACCGACAAAGGTTGGGGCTGTATGCTGCGTTGTGGTCAAATGGTCTTGGCACAAGCTCTGATAGATCTGCATTTGGGACGTGAATGGTTTTGGACACCGGAGATACGTGATGGGACATATTTAAAAATAGTTAACCGTTTTGAGGATTCACGCAAAAGTTACTTCTCAATACACCAGATCGCTTTGATGGGTGATTCGGAAGATAAAAAAGTAGGCCAATGGTTCGGGCCAAACACTGTGGCGCAGGTGTTGAAGTGAGTACATAACAATAACATTTATCTATATATAATATGTACATATTTATAAAAAAGTTAATGTTTGTTTGTTTCTTTAGGAAACTTGTACGCTACGACGACTGGTGCTCGTTAGTTATACATGTAGCCATGGATAACACAATAGTGACTGATGATATATGTATGTATAATGTGTTTACTTAATATTTTTATTCAAACACAATAGTAATTTTTATTTCTAATCACAGATTCACTATGCCTTGAAAACCCAAGTAATGATGATACTTGGAAACCACTCCTACTCATAATTCCACTGCGTTTAGGTCTCAGTGATATAAATCCCATTTATATACCAGCACTGAAAATCTGTTTTGAGCTCGCTGGCAGTTGTGGCATGATTGGTGGTCGTCCAAATCAAGCACTATACTTTGTGGGTTATGTAGATGATGAAGTTTTATATCTCGATCCACATACCACGCAGCGTTCAGGTTCGGTGGGGCAAAAAACGTCACAGGATGAGGTGGATTTTGATGCAACGTTTCATCAAAGGTACGCAGGGCGCATAGGTTTTCAACAGATGGATCCATCAATGGCGATGGTAGGTTTGCTTCTGAATAAAAAAAAAGGAAAAACTAAACATTAAAAAAAAAAATTTGTTAATATATATTTTTTTAATTACACCCTACAGTGCTTCCTCTGCAAGTCACGCTTGAGTTTCGAAGTCTTACTTGATAATCTGCGCACACAAGTTTTGCCCGCCTGCAAACAACCACTGTTCGAAATTACAAAATCCCGCTCAGCGGAATGGGTTTCAACATCGTCAGGTATTGAGTCAAATTTTACTACACTTAACACAGCGGGTTTGGTAAATTATAATGCCGCAGCAACTACAACGTCAACAACAGCGTCGAACGCCGCTTCCAGTGATGCCACAAATAGTAACACGCCGCGTACAACTATAGCAAAAACAATAGCTACGTCTGCACGTGCTACTGGCGCAACAGCAGGAGCGGTGGCGGCCATAGAAATTTATAAGAATCGTTTTAATCGAACTATAAGTTCTTGTGATTCTGAAGGTCTTTAAATGAGATAAGCTTTTATCATGATTTCTTACTAATTTTCCTTTTTACTAACCTCTCTTTTTTTAGTAGATTGCTTAGGAGTTGAAATTGAAAAATAATAATTTTCTTAAATTTTTCTTACAGATTTTGAAAATGTTAATCACTTACATACAAGCAGCTTGACGCGCAATGGTTGCGATGCTGATTCAGAGGCCGACTCAGATGATGATTTTGAAATAATTTCATAGTTAAAGGAAAATTGCCCAACTAAAAGAAAGTAAAACGAATCTTGAAAGTGTCTTTTTTTCGCTAAAACAAAAAAAAAAACATAAAAACGAAAGATGTAGAGAGAAAGACAGCATTTTAATTTATATAATTTTTTTTATATATAATTTGCAATTACAGTTAGTTATATACTTTTTATACATAATATGACATATAAAAGCACACCTAACAATGTAAATATAAAGATTCTTATATATAAATGCTAACAGTAAATTTAAGTATGCGCTTTTCTTTTCATTTCAAAAAAAAAAAAGAAAGAATAAAATCGCTATGTAACAATGCGTGTTGAGTACGGAGGCCAAGCACGATACAATACATATGTATGTAGACAAATTTGAAATATGTTAAGCAGGCTTTTCTTAATTTTATTAGTCAATAAATATACATATATGTATGTATGTTACATGAATTCTGCAAACACACACATAAACATAAAATAAAAATCACGCGTAGATGAGTAGATCTACCAACTCCTCGATGTGTGTACGAGAAGCAGCGGAGCGCATAGTTGCTAGACACTAACTACATATGTATGTACGTATGTATGTATTAACCTAAAATCATACTGTGTCTAAAATAAGTTAAAAAAGTAAAATTGAAAAGAAATCGCATAAATATAAAATACAAAAAATTTAATGTAAACAATTTTTAAATACTATGTAATGTAATTAAATGATTAAACATACGACAAAACGCTTGTGCACACATGCAAAAATAAAGCGAAAAATAGAAATAAAATGTAAGTAAATAAATAGTATAAAATCAAAAAGGAAACATTCGCTTTTATTTACACATTAATAGCACGGCAACAGTTTGTAGGCGGAAAATCATATGCCAATATTAATATATATTATTTTGAATCCAATTTATAGCGCTTAATTGATTTTTAATCAAAATATGTGCGGAGTTCCTTTAAAAAAAATGATAACAAGTATTTGAAACCGCTATTTCCACGTATGTTTGATGAATTCAATTACCATAAACCCGCATGCGGTGGTTAATAATCTTGAAATTTGACAAGCTTTCGATGGCGAAATAGAAAAATTAGCTCGATAAATGCAAAATTATATATATGTATTTTTTTATTATCTCTAGCAATATTTATGTTTAAAGCGAACATTATTGTCATTACTTAATTCGTGGCCCCACATTGTCACTCTCAAGCAAGCCTTTGAATAACATATGATTTATATGTATATGAATATATTTGTATGAAGTTATGTAGATTATTTATGAAACACCTCGCATTTAGCCACACCCCTTCCGTGTATCAACAGAATTTATAGCTTTGAATTTGAAGTTGTGTAAAATATTAAAAAAAAAATTTATATATATTTGCATACATATATGTATTACTTAGCAACTCAACTCCTGTAGCCAATAGCAGCTCAAAAAACATTACATTACTTTTCCTTGATAAGACCGTTACTTTAATGGACTGCAAATAAATTCAGACTTAAACAAACATATCCAGCATATTTAGCAAAAAATGAACCCTGGCATCTTCGCCTCTCACACTTGGCTCATATAACACATATCTTTCTTAAAACCGAACCCGTCGAGGCCGCTTGAGGGCTCTCCGTTCGATAATCTCAATACGGGTACAGACTTTCCTGTCACAAAGCATGCCAACAGCTACAACAGAAACAAAAAAGAAAAGAAGTCTGATGAGGAGATGTGGTGATGTCCGAAAAAGTTGTCACTTACTTGATGATCAAGGGTGAACCATTCCGAGGTTTCCTACTTTTTTCAAGAGAAAAATACGAGCAATTCGAAAGAAAATTCTTTGGCATTTATCTCTTTCAGATGTAAGCCGCGGCTACGTATCAGATGGTCAATCCGTTGAATCTAATTTTAAATGACTCGGTCAGGCATTTCAACTGATAATTGGCGAATGACGCGCGTGCTGCTTTGCTCCAAGACCTGAATCGAAGAGGGATTAGCCGCATAAGCTTAATACTTTACATACCCCACAGGGAAATGTCTAACGGTGCGATATCACACGATGTTGATGGCCAATCGACCGACCGAAAATTATCTGCTCACCGAAATCTTCTATCAATATCCATTGATTGATACGATGTGTGGGAGCGGGGCCGTCTTGTTGAAACCAAATGACGCCCAGATGACGAGCTTCAATTTCAGGCATCAAATAGTTGGTTATCATGGCACGATAACGTTCGCCATTGATTGTAACGTTCTCACTGGCTTAATTTTTAAGGAAATATGGACCGCTGATTCCACTTTTTTTGAGTTTTTACTGGATGAAATGATAGCTCTCCGATAGGTTGCTCTTTGTCCTAAGTGCGGCAATTTTGCTTGTTCACATACAAATTGAGCTAGAAATCGGTCTCATAGCTGAACAAACCTGTCTGGCTCGGAAAAAAACGGTTCTTCTTGGAACTTTTCAAAAGCAATGTCCCTGGGAAGGTCGAAAAGCCAGTTTTTGCACAAGCTATATTTTGATTTAATTTAAGATCTTGACGTAAAATGCGCCAAGTCGATCCATATGGCAGTCCGAATCGACTCTCCACGTCTTCGTGTATACTCTCAGCTACGGTCGCTTAATTTTCTTCGCTGCGTGTTGGACGTGGTCTATTGGATCGAATATTATCCAAAAATGCTGGGTCTCAAGATGGGTGATGGTGTTACGAATAGTAGGCTCAGCAGGCCGATTATATTGACCATCAATTGAGCGTACTTAACATCTTATTGAAAAAATATCTATACTTGGATCAGCCGTTATAACAAAAATATTATATTGATACAAACAAATAGGCCTTCAGCTCAATAAAAAACCGATTACCATTTGTTATGGGTTCCATAATCCGTCTCTATTGTAGTTTTTGATAATTTAACGTTAGATGGACAAATTTTTTTCTGCGAACCAATTAACCGTATAAATGCTTGTATTCGATCTGCTCTGCTGCTTTGGAAATCGTCATTAGAAAAGGTCAAGATATTTCGGAACCCTTTCTTACTTAGAATTACTCCTCAGTGCTTGTAATATACTCCTGGACAGATCAATCAAACGTTAGCTCTACAAAACGATGGGCAAATATCAGTAAGTATTCTTCATTACTGAAGATTCTGGTACATAAAAGGATGAGTTAGCATTCCGCAAGTTGTTGTTGTTGATGCCGAAAGCGCAAAAATTCCAAAAAATATATATTCTAACTGGTTTCGAAGGAGGTCGCGAAAGTGAAAATCCAAAACTGAATAGCAATCCTAAATGTAGCATGAGACCCACGTATTTTGGTCGCCTTTCACGAAACTTGCAATCTTACCCACACTAGAGAACTTGGTGCTTATGCAGCTTGACCCATTCAGTTGAAGTAGGCTGCTTAAAGGATGGTTAGGTTTTTACGAGACCGATCCTGATTGTCTCTTATATTTTTAACATCTCCAGTGCGCTGGGGTTTGAAGTGCTTCATCTGCACGAGCTCGGCTCTAAGTATTTTGTCATGCTGACAGTTCGATCGTTCATAAACTGGTTAACGTAGCTATACAAGCAGACAAGTCATAAAATTGTATATGTGGAACGTAGTACTAAGTTAGTACTCTACAACATAAGCTTGCCAACAACATGAGTTGAATTTGTCTCCTTTACTTCCAAGGTTACTTCGAAAGGTTACCTCCTGTTTTCTCTAGTTCAATACCTACCATGGATACTCCCATCCCTTTCTGCATTCACTAAATGTAGTGGACTAAAAGGCCGCACAGTCGCCTTCTGAATCTCATGTTCTTCCATATCCATATGAAGCTTTACGAGAGATACGTTAGCAATATTAGTGGTATCAATAGTATTTCACGGGAAATGCTTACCCGAGGCTTCAAAAAATAAAGAAAAATTAGTGAGAAGCACTGCAGAACTGCAGTTCCCTCTTAATTATTGCTGTGCCTCTCCTTGCACAAATTGAACCATATTCATTTTAGAAACTGACTACAAGATATCTGTAGTTCCAGTTTTCCAGACCTCAAAGATAGATCTTATGTTGTTAAAATTCCTATCCTTACATCTTCAGGTTACGGCAGCGGTCATACAGTAGACTTGTCAGATATCAGCTTCATGGGTTTAAATCCGCAAAAATTCTGTGAGATCTTAGAAGTACTGGCATACCGAAATTCTGGGTAGTGTAGTGTACATAACTTCTATTCACTCCCGACTCGTACCTGCCCGACACTAAACAACTCATCTAACCTTCTTTCGCTGCAGTACGAACCCCTGAAAATAGTTTCTGTCTTGGTCCTTCCGTTAGATGACTTCGATGACATCGACTAGCCGCTAAAAAGACACGACAACCTCTCGTATATACCAGTATACACTCTTCCTGTAGGTGAAATCTGATATAAAGTCTTAGCCACCTAGACTCGATCCGCAATCGACCAAGACCCAGCGTCTGTTTATACGAACGCCCATAGCTCTCTCTGACGAAATCACGGTAATAACTCTCTGCAAATAAAATGGTTAACACGAAAGGGTCTTGAATCATCTGCATGGTAGTCAATAAGGAAATAAATTATTTTAATCTAATTTCGATTATTACGCAATAAATTTAACTACGCAAACATGGAATTCCAAAAAACGAAGATAATTATATTAATTGATCTCATTTTAATGACTTTTTTCTGCTGTTATAAATTTCGATTCTGAAGCTTTTTCACCATTCTTTTTCATCTACATATTTGTTTAGGTGACAAACGTTTATTTATGATAATAAGCGCCGCCGCATTCCAACGTCATCGCGTTACGTTGACTTAAGCATTGAGTTAAAGAATTTAATTAAAAACAACAACACCAAAAATTATAATGAAATTGCTTAAAAGCCATTGGCCAAAACAGGTTAACATGGCAAAAGTGATTTGAATGCTTGGAAATCATTAGGTGAATTAAGAGCACTTTTCAGTACATTTTTTGCGATTTAAAAACAAACAAAAAAAAAAAATTAATAAAAAATAAAATTAAAAAAATAAAGAAAATAAAAAATACAGATTGCTTAAGGCGAAGTGTGAGCAAAATTAACAAATAACAGAGTTCAATTTATCATGTCTAAAATAAATAAAATATTGGGCGAATCGGTAAGTAAATCGCGTTGGAAAATATTTTAATTTAAAATTTGAAATTCAAAATTAAACTATAAAAGCTTGTAGCTTCCAGCTGAGCTTTTCTTTGCATATATTCCAAATTTTTGAATGCCGTTGCCTCTACGTCCTTTCAAAAATTCTCTCTATTTTTGTAGTTGTGAGACCCAAGAAACTGGTCTCGATAGATTGGAATCAAAACACGAATGTGTTACATTAGTTGTGTGTGACCCATACGCTTGGTAAGTCGGAGTCGCATCTGGAAGTGTGCGAGATTAGTATATTCGTAATCACAACAGAATTAGTCGGATCTAAGAATCTAACTCGGACTTTATATCAGCGATCAATGGTGGTTGAGCTCCCTATTCTACAAACAATTTACGTCCAGTGGTTTTGTTACTTGTAACGTGGGGTCCTTGCTGAGGCATGCAAGCGGCTTCAGAGTCCTCCAATGCGACCCTCTAGTCCATTGGTTAATTAAAACACGGATGTGCAAGTTTCTCACACACCTGGAGTGTCTCGAAGCGAGAGGAAGTCGCTGGTCGGCGAAAGGGAAAGGAAAAGGCTCATTGTGTTCTTCGTGTATATCCGTTTGTGAAAAATTTGCTCGATTTTATACATTTTTTCCAAACATGAGTCCTTTTTGTTGTTGTTGTTGTTGTTGTAACCGCAAAAATTATTCCCCAAAGTAC